CTAGAGGCTCAAGAGAGATAAAATAAGGAATTAAAGACAACCAAGAAACATCAGAAGAACAAAAGCAGATGGTCAAAAAGGATGACAAACACTGGGATGAGTGGCAGAGTGAAGCAATCATTATTTATAGGGGGTCCAGGTTAGAAAAAAGTAGGTCACAGCCCTTCCTTGTAAACCTCTGCATTTGAGCACAAGGGGGTGGGTGCAACAAAACAAGGAGAGAGGAAACACTCTATCAGGCTCTCCTTGGATTTGTATCTTGCCTCACTACCGTGGAAAACAAAACGCATGCAAGATATGAGGCTGAAGGGAAAGGATAGAGCTAGAGTGAGAGGAGATAAATGGGTGGCATGACAAGGTATAATGAGTTCAAGAACTATTCATCTTTGTTTTCTTTATTAGGAGATGACGACAAGGAGGAAAGCTTCTAAAGAAAGCAAAATGCTTGACAAGGTAGGTAATCTATCACTGAAGGTTTTAAATGTATAAATGTCACTTGAATTTGATATTTTCTCCGTGTCAATTTTTACTGTGCTTTTTACAGCATTGTATTTATTCTGGAGACAAACCAAATGTTAGCTTAGGTGTTAACAAGAACTAGTTGTAATTATCAAAAAGTCTTCAAAGCCATATTTTAAAAAATACTTAATGACCTATAATATAATACTGTTTTTAAATGATCTTTCAATCAAGCAGAATAGTACTTAAAGGAACCTGTGCGTGTCTCCACTCGCTTTGTGGTGTTAAAATGACAAACTTTTCCTACATGGTTACCTTGCTTAATCATTCAAACACCATATCATTACTCTGAACCACATTCACAACACAGTTTATGTGTATAACAAAACCATTAACACAAGTTACATTTGAGTTTTTAAACTTTTAGAAACAGTCTGGAAGCATATCCATTAATTAGATTATAAAACTGGTTATTACAGAAACTAAGTTCTCTGGGCTCTGCACTTAGGGGTGTCCATAGCACTAAAATAGCTTTCTATCTTATTTACCTTTCCTATAGCAGAAAAAAATAACCTTAGAACATGACAGACTTCTCATAAAATCAAAAGCATTCTTTGAAAATGAGCAGCATCTGGTAAACATAATCCTCCTGCTCCTAAGCATGACCCAAATTCATCCCTGTTCCGTCCCACATCACTACCACCTCCTCTGCCTCCCACCACAGGTCTGGCAAGAACTCTTCTCTGCTCCTCTATAATTTCTGAATTGAGGATGCCATCACACTCAACTATGATAACTTCTATGCAAACAATATAAATCTGTATCACTAAGGTGATATCTGCCTCAGTTCTACAACCTGACATCTTTGTCTGGGAAGCACAGTAATAAAGTGGCTAACCATGCAGACTCCTAGTCAGACTGCCTAGGTTAAAACCCCACCTCCTCCATTTATGAACTGAACAGCCTTAGAGAACTTCATCTATGAAACAGGCTGCTTCATCTGTCAAATAAAAATAAAATTGAGGCCTCACCAGTTTGGTTCAGTGGTTAGAGCATTAGACCTCAGACTGAAGGGTCCTGGGTTCGATTCTGGCCAAGGGCATGTACCTCAGTTACAGGTTCCATCCCTGGCACTGGTCGGGGCACATGCGGGAAGCAACCAATCTATATGTGTCTCTCTCACATCGCTGTTTCTCTCTCTCCCTCTCTCCATTCCCCTCTCTCTGGAAAGCAATGGAAAAAAATATGCTAGGGTGAGGATTTGAATGAATGAATGAATGAATGAATGAATGAATGAATGAATGAATGAATAATAAACAAAATTGAAATCTATGACATGATAGCCTGCAAGAATTAAGATAATATCCAATAGATATACAGCACTTTGAACAGTGCCTGCCACAAAGAATACTATCAATAAAGATACAATAGTGTCCATTATTTTATTACAGTATTTGGCTGTGACTTCCAATACAGCATGACCAAAACCAAAACATGTCTTCCCTCTAACTGAACTCTCTTTCTGGAATTCCCTATACCATTCTAGTCAGAGACCTAAAAGTCATAATCAATAATGCTAAATGTGTAAAGAATTCTTTCTCACATCAACTCCTTCCTTCCAACTCAGAACGCCGCTACCCAAAAGGAGGTCATCAGTACCTGGACTACTGCAACTCTATCCTACGGACTCCTGATCTATACTCTCACTTACACCCAACCATTTTGCACACTGCTGCACGAGATAATTCTCTGAGGTCCAAGGGAGTAGACACATTTAGAAAATGAGGTTTTTTTAACTTTACCTTTTATAATAGTATAAAGATAAAAAATACTGCACAGGTAAAATGAGAAAGAATAGATTTTTTTTTTTAAATAAATGATATTGGAACAATTTGGTATCTACATTGTTAGGGGGGACATCTAAAAGATACACAGGAGCTACATGAAAGAAATTATAATCCATAAAAAGTCAAAGATGACCTAAATACCTTAGTCATGGGCTGAAAGACTCAGTGTAAAGATATCAACTCTCCTCTCAGTCATCAAAAGACTCAATGTAACCACAATCAAAATCACTTGTTGGCCCAGCCGGGCGTGGCTCAGTGGTTAAGTGTCGACCTAGGATCCAGGCGATCAGGGTTCGATTCCTGGTCAGGGCACATGCCCAGGTTGCGGGCTGCAGCTGACCAATGACTCTCATCATTGATGTTTCTAGCTCTCTCTCTCCCTCTCCTTTCCTCTCTCTGAAATCAATAAAGATATATTTAAAAAAAAAAAAAAATCACTTGTTGAACTTAAAACATGATATTAAATCTTTATGGAAGGGCAAAGGAAAGTCAAGACACCCTTAAAGAAGAACAAAAAAGCACTAGCACTCTTAAATATCTACACATTTAATATACATCTACATTAATTAATACTGTGCAGAATAAGTATCATAATAAAGAAACATTAATAAAACTAAATAAAACCCAGAGACAGACCCAAGCACCTATGGACACTCGACATGACAGAGTGGGTAACAGAGAGAGAGAAGGGGAGAGGATAAAGTTTTAAAAACAAAGGCAAACCAATAATGATGCTGGGAAAATTTGGTTTCTACATGGAAAAATAAATAAAACTATTTTGAAATTTAAAATAAATTGGGACCTCCTTTCTGGCACCATATAAACAAATAAAAAAAGTCAACTCCAGATGGATTATAAACCTAAGTGTAAGGAGTAAAATCCATAAGCCTTTTACTTTTAGAAGAAAATATTGGAGAATATCTTAACTTCAGGGTAAGAAAAGATTTCTTAATAACAGCACAGACTCAAAGAAAAAGATTGATAAATTTTAAACCAGCATTTATCTCCATCATAAGATGCCACTAAAGAAAGTGAAAAGATAAGCCACAATTGATATCTGAAACATGTGTAACATGTAAGGATTAGTACCTGGTCCACATGAAATGTATTCTCACAAATAAATAGACAAACAATTCAACAGAAAAAAAAAAGTTAAGCCATTTCACGAAAAAGGAAAATCCAAATGGCCAATAAAACATAAAAAGATGCATCATCAATAACTACGGAAATGCAATTAAAACCACATTGAGATACCATCTCCACCACTAGACTGGTAAAAATTAGAAGTCTGACCATATCAACTACCAGCAAGAATTGAAAACAACTCCTTGAATCCATTACTGGTGGGAATGAACACTGATACATGCATTTGGGGAACGAGTCTGGAGTTACCGATTAAAGTCTGAATATGTACATATCTATGACCTAATAACTCAACTCCTAGTCACATATCCTAAAATAACCCTTACACATGTGCCCCAGAAACCATGTTCTAAATATTCACAGTAGCAGTGTTCACTCATACAAGCAAAGCCCTGGAAAACTCAAAACTCCATCAATAGTCAAATGGACGAATTGTGGCAAACTCATGCAACAAGTGATCAGAGCAATTTCACATCCAGCAACATGGATAAATCTAAAAGCAGGATGTTTAAGGAAAGAAGCAAATCTCAGAACACGAACAGTTTAAATCCAACAAATAAAGTATAAAACAGGGAAAACTAAACAACCAATTGTTTAGAAATATACTTAACAGATGATAAATTTACTAATAAAAGCAATGGAATGGCTCACAGAAATCAGGATAAAAATTACTTTTTAGGGGTATATCTGAAAGAGGGACATGAAGATTTCTAAGGTCTTGACAATGTCATATTTCTTATGCTGGTGGTGGACATATTGACAGTAATTTTATTATTTTTTAAACGATAGTTTTCATAAATCTTATATATGTATAGTTCATAATGAAACCAATTTGGGGGAAGACAGGAGTACGTGTTAGAGTGAAGTTAGGTGGTGAAGAATCTGAAGTCTGGCTGGGAGGCAAGAACTAAAATAGGACGATTGCTAAAAGGGGTACGTGGGGGTGATCAGACTTGAGCATGTTTAAATACCAATGAAAAGGCACCAGCGGGACTAGAGAGGTTGAAAAGATAGGAGAATGAGGAAATAACTTATAAAATGAGATTTCTAAGTGGGTGGGGTAAGATTCAGAGGACACGTGAAAAAAGGATATTTCTTTCACTTTAACTAGAGGGAACAAAGCAAGAACCAAGGATTCATATACCCATGCCCCCCTCCCTAACAAACCATATTTCCCTTGATAGCCAGGCATTACTAGCATCTAGAACAGTGCTAATGGGCAGGGAAGAGAACAGAGGTAAGGACTGCTTTGGATAGTTTCAAAAAGTATAGAATGGATTCCCTGAGAAGAGTACACTGTTAATATCTAACAAATATTCCAACCACCTATTAGCTAACTTCACAAATGCAAAAATCACCTATTAGAAAAGTCTACATTAAAGTTTCATTCTTCACCAGATAAATGCAAAAGCAATATAATATTAAAAGTCCAACTCATACTTTTTTTGATACATACTGAACATTTATATTAGCAATCTTTTAAAAGCTAATTTCCTTAAATTAACTCTTACCTCACTTATAAAAAATAAGAAAAAATCAACTTCTACTTACTTAATTGAGTTTCTAAAGTGGTCTTCAGCTGGGTTTTTTACGGTACAACTATTCAGGAGCCATAAATCTGCGTCTGATGCATTTTCTGTTAAAAACATGAATATGAAAAAGAAAAGTATCACATTTAACTGGTCAGAAATATACAAGCGCTTACTTAGATGGCACTGCGACTGCTGGGGGAGAGCAGAGAAAGGAGAGAATCAAGTCAGGTAAACAGGCAATTACAATATAGTAGGAACTGCTGTAATATGGAAACACTCATGAGAAATGAATATTAAAATGTATAACCTGTGCTGTTATCTTTTCATTTAAAGTATAAAGAGGGTCAGCATTTGCTTCCTGTATTTTCAATACTTGAGAGTACTTAATAACTTCCAAAAGTTAAAGAGAAACTGTCCTAAACTTACCTTTAAAGAGGAAATTGCACCTTTTGGGCTGCATGTTAATATTTTTCAAGTACATGTCTTATCATACGCTGAATATTCTTCAGCTTGAGAAGTTATTAAAAATATAATTTGTCTTCCTTGAAAAGTTAAAGATTAACCTCAAACTGAGGCCTTTATTCCTCCCAACAATTTGATTAGATATTGTTATACACAATAATAAACTCACTAGCAGTGCAACAAATCACCCAAACCCATTGTGCTTATTGACATGAATTTATAAATGCCTAAAGTGCTTGATGCTATTCCAACTACCTTGCTGCCTAAAAGGACTTACACTTTAAAATAGGATTACCACAATGAAAGGAAAACCGAAATTGAAAACCACAGCACCTCCAATGGTATTTCAATAGAAACAGAAGCTGAGGTCAGAAGTCATGCAGAACTAAAAGGACAGACGGATGCCTGCCTCTACACCTCTACCTGAGAAGGGGGCTTTGAGTGTGGGCACTACGTGAGAGGGCAGGTGAGCACCTCAGAGCTTCGAGTAACTTGGCAAAAACTTGTTCCACCAATGTTTTATTAGAAAAATGGTAAAATATTTTTATAAAGAGAAAGGATCCAAAAATTCTTAAAACACTAAAACGGCAAGGGAAGTTCCATATTACTATACATAAGCTGAATACCATGATCCCCTAACTGGTCTCACTCCTCCCATTCACACTCCAAACAGTGTATGTCCCACCCAAGAGCCAGAGTGGCCTTTTATAAAATATAAATTTGGTTAGGTCACTTCCCTGCTCAAACTCACCTACCTTTTTGGTTCCCTCCAAACCACTCCCCACAATACCATCAGTAATATACTCCTCTAATATCGATCTGCTCACAGCACTCTTGAAACCTTCCAATGATTTCACGGTGACATTCAAGGCCTATCCAGATCTAGCCACCTCCCCAACTTCAATGTTCATTTCTCCCTAAGTTCCCTCCAGCCACACTAAGCCACCTGGAATTACTAAACCTTGTGCTATGCCATCTGCCTAGAATACCTTTATTTTCTTCAGAACAGCAACTCATATAGCCCCTCACCTCAATATCCACCTGGCTAACTCCTACGCATCCTTCAGTTTCAGCCTGAGATTGGTCAGTTGCCACCTCTCTGCACTCCCATAGCAGGCTGCATAGACCATTCTGGCACTTTATAATTCTGTATTAAAATAAATAATTTTTCCAGTCTGTACTTATTACTATTTAAGAAATACTTAATACATTTTTATCTGCTGCTTTCTGAATGTCCAGATCCTAACAGAACAGACATTCAAATAGCCGTGAAACACTCAACAGTACACAAGTAGGTACAAGAAGAAAGATGACAGAGGATAATGTGTGAGACACATACATACAGCACTTCTACCAACCTCCCAAAGCCCTGAAGGTCATACTAATCTAAATAAGCTTCAAGAAAGGCAATTTATTTAACTAATATGTAGAGCTGAGATTTTCTTATTCACAGCAACACCCTCAGCACTTATTACAGTGCCTGGCACATTGTGGATACTCATTAAATATTTACTAAACCAATGTTGAATTTCGAAAGACAAAGCAAATGTATAATGAGCAATATATTATAAATTTAACAAAAAGTCATGGAAGTCTGTTAGCTCATGATAAGAATATAGAGACTGTGAATTTATTTTAAACAAACAAAAACCTAAAGACAGAACTACTTGTTGCAGATGCTAGGTTGGTATCCTGGCACACTCTTCTAGTCACCTTAAAGCCATCAGACAACTCTTACCATATCTCAACAGAAGCCCTCTCAAGGAGAACTTCAGCAATAAATAAGGCAAATCATTCCACTTTGTCTGGAATTCTGTCAATGTTGGAATGTACTGACTTTCAAAATAAAGTGAATTACTATGCTGGTGACCCAGTTGTTGTAAGCAACAGGAAACCTGTGAACATACCAAAATGCCTACAAATTTACCTAACTTTTTAGTAACCATCCCACAAAAGAGAAGTCTCTCCTCCAATGAACACAGAAATAATCCAATTACTTCTGAACTTAGTTTTATGTTAATACATCTTACTTAGTATTGTCAAAGCACTGTTCAACTTACAAGCATAAAACAGTCAGTCAACAACCACAACACAATGAAGATTTACTATGTGCGAGGCTGTACTCTAGGTTATGGGGATATGGCTATGACTAGAGTTTCTACCCTAAAGGAGTTTGCAGTCTTAAGGAGGAAGTACAATAAAACACAAAAACAGGGAAACCAGGTAAGTAATTTCAGGCACCTGTCAATGATATTAGGGCAACAAAAGAGGGTAATGGACAAAGAGTAATTGGTGGGTTGCTAGTCAAAATAAGTCTCCCTCGGAAGTTCAAATCTGAACTGAGACTTAAATAATGGGAAGGAATCGGCAGAGATAGGAAGAGCTTTCCGAGAAGATGCCACAAAAGCAAAGACCTTAAAGAGCACCAAGCTTGCCATGTTCTAGAAACAGAGAGAACACCAGTGTGATTGGACACAGGGAGAACAGCAAGAGAAACATCTGAGAGGTAAGCAGGAACCAGATTACGCTGGCCACTGAGTTTCAAACGTGAACTAGTTCCTACCTCAGAAAGCCCATTCTGAAAGCACTGTGAAGACAAGGTATAAGCAATGAGGGAAAAGTAAAGGCAAGCAAACCAGGTGGAAGCTGACACATTGGTCTAAAAGTAAGTGGAAGACTGTGGTAACCTGGACTGGGATTAGGGCAATGGCCAGAGTGAGAAGTAAATAGAGGCATATGTTGAAGGCAGAAACAAGAGAACTCGCCGAGAGATCAGATGTGAGTCATACAACAAGTAAGCACGTGGAAAGGGTTCTGGCCTGAGCATCAGTTGTTTGTGGTGTCGTTTACTGAGACGGGGGGTTTGGAATGGAACAGATCTGGGGATGAGAGAATAACTAGGGGGGTTTTGGCCATGCTATATTTGAGATCCCTGTTACACATCCACCTGGAAATACTGGCCAGCCATTTGTATATATAAAACCAAAGTTCGAGGGAGTCTTTCAGGCTTGAGACACAAATCAGAGAATCAAAACCCTAAGAAGATATCTGAATGTAGAGGAGTGGATGAGTTCACCCAAGGAGATGGTATAGGGGTGGAGGAGAAGCAGAGAAAGGAGAGAAAAAAGTGGAAGACAAAACGCCAAGTCATTCGCAGGAGTGGCAGAAAAGCTGAGATGAGAAAAGGCATTGGAAAAGGGCGGCCAGCAAGATGGGCATAAAACCAGGCACAGAGTCACTGAAACCCAGAGGAGAAAGTACTGGAAGAACGAGTGATCAATCATAATAAATGATGCAAGTCCAAGAAAGATATCTGCACAAATATCAGTATTGTTAACAAAAGAATAAAATGACTGTTCAGACTTTTTCATGTTCCTTTCTCAATTCTGAGTATTTGCTTGCTCTGTGCCAACCCACGATCACGCAGAAAACGCCCCTTTTCACTAAGTAACACAGAAAACAAACTCACTACAGAACGGGAGTGAGAAGGAATATCATGTGTGGCTATTTGCCAATAAAGAATGCTGATTCCACATTTTTGGTCCCCTTACGATCACATTTCCTGGGTTCTAAGATGCCATCAACTATAAGAAAAACTATCAGCTTAGTGACAGCTCTTCAAGAGGAGTGGAACATTACATTCATGTTCTTATTAATTTTAACATATATCCCAACTTCAAACATTAACATGAGAGACAGGATGTGGGTAAAATGCAGCTAAAACAGAAGAAATGAGTGAGCTTAACATGTTATCTTCGAGTGGCACCACCTAGAATAAGAAATACCGGAAAACCTGGCTTTCCAGAACCTCATCACCCAAAATAAATGAATGTTCAAATATACTACTACTAGAAGTTTTTTTGTGTTGTTTTTTTTTTTCATAGAGAGGAAGGGAGAGGGAGAGAAAGATAGAAACGTCAATGATGAGAGAGTCATTGAGCGGCTGCCTCCTGCACACACCCCACCTGGGATGGAGCCCACAGCCCAGGCATGTGCCCCGATCGGGAATCTAACTGTGATCTCCTGGTTCATGAGTCGACGCTCAACCACTGAGCCACTCTGGCCAGGCCCACAAGTAGATTTAATTCACTTGGTTACTGAATTAAATATCTGAGAAGAGAAGATGAACATTTTATGGTCTTTCCTTAATCAGATCATTCATGCCAGGCCCTCCAGTGCCCAGGAGGAAGAAGCAGTTACAGAGGAGCCCTTATGAAAAGAAGGGTGAGGGAGATGGACAAGAATGGACCAAGGAAGGGAAAGGCAGTAAAAAGGCACTGCGCTTGGAGAAACAGATTTGAAGAGGACCCCAAAAAAGTTTTTACCTACTTTGAGATTTGGCCTACAGCACTACTGTTAACTCCTAATATGGAACTGAAAGTCATTTGAACATTAGCCAAATACTGCCAATGCCTGAGCTGGGATGTCAGGACTGGTTTGGAAGGCTACAAACTTTAGGCTAACCATATGGAATCTAGACCTCAAGATATGGTTATTTACTCTTTCATTATCACGCCATAGTGCTGCCATGAATAGCACTGTGCATATATCATTCTGTATTCCCAGATTATCTTTGGAATCAAGTCCAAAAGAGTAGGATTGTTGGGTCAGGGATAAATTCATAGGTAAATGCATTATATAC